TGTGCCTGCCGGCCATCAATGGTGGCCGGTCGGCCACATTGATGGCCAGTCGGCCACTAGTGATGACCGACGACCATTCTTCTCCTTTTTCAGATATTTGCTTGCCAGCTATGCCAGCTGTTCTTCACTGAAGTGCATCTCCATACACGTATATGGAGGGATGAAGTCAAGCTTTAATCTTGATTTTCTATATATAGGGGGTGTCCTCCCCCAGTTTGGAGGGTTAGAGATTTTGGATCAAAATTCTCTCTCTCTCTCTCTCCCCTCTTGTTTTGTGCCTTAAAGCCTTATTTCTCTACACCTTTGTACATCAAACCTAAACCAAACTTGACCACCTTGGAGCTGAGGTTCTTTGGGGTCTAGTTTGAGCTTTGGGAGGAGGTTTGAGCTTGAAATTGTGGCTGTTTGGTGCTGTGCTTCAAGAGGTATAAGACTTACCTTGTAAGTTTTGTTTTGACTACTTGTTTTACCGTCTTTTTACACTGTTTTTGGCCTGGTTTTCAACTACAAAAAAAAAACTTTGATTTTTAAGCCTTAACATGATGTGATGTTGAACCATTATTTTTTTTCTTTTATTTATTTTATTTTTGCTCCCTTTTGTTTTTACTCGGGGCCAGTCACTGAATAAAAAATAATAAAAGCCTTATAGATGCATTTTCTCTTATTAAAATAGTAAAATGAAGTAAATTTTCTGTTTAATTATTTTTATTTCCATTTGCCTCCGCTTGTGCCATTTAATTTGCCACAATTAGAATAAATTAGTGAGTTGCGATTCCAGCCCTAAGACTCTGGGGTTGGGTCGTGACAAAGGTGGTATCAAAGCAATGGTTCATTCAAAAAAAAAAAAAAAACTTATTTTAATTTGATCAAAAAGTTCGAAAAGTTATAAATCTATAAATAAAATTATATAGATAAATAAACATAATAAAATAAAAAAATAAATATTTACCTGTGACGTTAGTCCTTTTATGTAAAATCTCACGTTTCTTCTGGTAATGTAGGAATGTCAGAGATTAACGTTGATGAGGCATTTTGGGAGGCGCTCAGGGCCATTAATTTGGATGAGATTTTAGCAGAACACCTCACCCTCGCCTCACCTGAAGGATGGGGAGACTCAGATGATATAATTAGAGGACTGCATCTAGGCCTTGCCCAATTGATGGGTTGGCCAATCTATATACAGACTGATCCTACTGATGTCCCATACTTACTATGGAGGCAGAGCCGTGCCTATACGCTGTAGACACACCATTTTTGGCCGTCCTCAAGACTTGGACGTCATCGTTTGAACACTCGATGGTTTTGTATGCTTGTGTTCATTTTGAGTGCCTGAAGTTCTCGGCCGAGTGCCTTGCCTTTGAGCCTCTCAACTTGTCTATTTTGTGCTTAGTTGTGGACCAAGAGCTTGTTGCTTCAAGTCTGGAGGAGAGGGCGGCCTGTCGGCCATCCCCATTGTCCATCGGCCATGGCTTGTGCCTGCCGGCCATCAATGGTGGCCGGTCGGCCACTAGTGATGACAGACGACCATTCTTCTCCTTTTTCAGATATTTGCTTGCCAGCTATGCCAGCTGTTCTTCACTGAAGTGCATCTCCATACACGTATATGGAGGGATGAAGTCAAGCTTTAATCTTGATTTTCTATATATAGGGGGTGTCCTCCCCCATTTTGGAGGGTTAGAGATTTTGGATCAAAATTCTCTCTCTCTCTCTCTCCCCTCTTGTTTTGTGCCTTAAAGCCTTATTTTTCTACACCTTTGTACATCAAACCTAAACCAAACTTGACCACCTTGGAGCTGAGGTTCTTTGGGGTCTAGTTTGAGCTTTGGGAGGAGGTTTGAGCTTGAAATTGTGGCTGTTTGGTGCTGTGCTACAAGAGGTATAAGACTTACCTTGTAAGTTTTGTTTTGACTACTTGTTTTACCGTCTTTTTACACCGTTTTTGGCCTGGTTTTCAACTACAAAAAAAACTTTGATTTTTGAGCCTCAACATGATGGTTTGAGGTCATTTTGTGTAAAGGGGTAGTCCACCCTTCTTGTTACTTTATTGTGTAAGCTTTTGTACCATCTTTTAGCATATTTACATCAATTTTTTTGACCCTTTAAACCACTGATATTTAGAGTTATTTTAGTGGTAAAAACTTGGCTTTGAAGTCCAAAATTGGAGGGGTTTGCCTCCCCTCCTTGTGTCTTGCTTGCATGCCTAGATAGTTTAACATGTGAGCATGTTTTTCTAGCATTTCTTAGCTTATCTCCAGCATATTTCTGCCTCTGATTTGGACTGTTTTAGCTCTGTTTTGGGCTGCTTTGGTCATATGAGTCTTGTTTTGTGTAGTTGCAGTGCAAATGGCTTCACTTGCTTAATGTTTTAGGCTTTCAAACATGAATTGCGTGAGTTGCTTGCATGTTGTAGTGTCTTTTTGCACTCCATTTCAGCACTGAAATCTCTGTAATCTCCCTCTATTCTTCACTCTTTCATTTATTTTGATAGTGACTTTGAACCCATTGTTGGCTTAAGTGTGAAATTGAGACACTTGTGCTTAATGGTTTTAATCCTCTTTTGAGGATTTCTACTAACCAACGGCATGAGGACTTTTTCATGCTCAAGGCACTTGTGGTTTAAGCCTTCTTTCCATTAGAGGACACTCACCTTTTGGACTCATCAATTAAAGAATGGATTGGTAAGCTGAAATGAGTAAACAAAATTGAACAAGTAAAAGAGGCAAGATAAGCATCTTTCATGTTACATTACATCTGTTCGGATTGGACGTTAATTCGAGCACGGGAAAAATGGGACGTTTCATACTCAGTGATAAAACATGCCACTTTTCTTGGTCACCTTCACCCTTGATCATGCATGATAGGGTGGTGGTCTTTCGAGTCTTGTTTTTACACTCATTAAAGCTTTTACAAGCTTGGTTCTTTAGCCGTCATGCATGAAAATTCTTGGTTAATGGCTTGAGAGCCAAGAGCTACACTCCTTTGAGCTTGTGTGATGATAAGGAGGGTTGTAGTACATACACTCCTTGAGAATACACTGCTTTGCCTCTGTTTACAGCAAAAAAAGAGAAGTTCAGGGAATGGGTGGCCGACTGGCCACCAGCAGTAGCCGACCGGCCAAAAATGAAAAATTGCACAAGTGTGTTCCTGAGTTGGAGTAGAGATGTTCTGGAAATTGGCAGCAGTGTTGGTGTTCAAACGAGTGCAAACAGAGGTGTCCGATGGCAAGGCGGTGGATTTTCGGGAGGAAAACAACCAAACATGCATGCGTCCCTCGCCCTCGAGGCCATTTACTTGCTTTGTTTAATTATTTAGTCGTAGCTAATTCATTCATACAAGTGTTGTAATTAATTAGCTTAATTCGGTTTTTAATATTTGATTAACTAGAATAGTTAATTAATTGTGTTGTAATAGCTTAGCTTAATTAGTATAGCTGGTTAGCTTATTCATTCGGACCCTCCTTCGTGAGGGCATAATGTTATAATAAGTGTGTGTACGTGTGTGTATGTCTTCCAACCCCACGTCTTTCTCCCTTTTATTTAATCACTTTCGATGGTTAGATTAGGGACACGTTTTGATTAGCATACCTTACGCTTGCATGTTTGCATCATTCATTTGTCTTGCATGCACCGAGGCTTAGCGCATCATTCAAACTGCATAATCATTTCAATATCTTCTTTGAATACGTGTTTCAAAGCATGCTATCAAAATGTTGAAAATACCATATTAGTAGCCGAGCCTATTAATTACATTATTGCATGTGTTGCATTAGGCATCTTGTATAGTTAGGATCATGAATTGTTTCTAACTAGTTTTTGTTTTGGCTTGGAGTACTCGGTGAGTTTTATGCTTTAGCATACTTGCATGAGTGTGATTTCCATATTGCCATATCTCGCATGCTTACCATGAGGCTATGTGCTTAAATGCTAAACTGCATGAATGCTTGTGGATGAAGGCTTTGTTGTTTGAATTGGAATGATTCAATGAATGTATAGTAAGTTGTGATTCCAACCCTAAGCCCCTGGGTTGGGTTGTGATAAGGTGGTATCAGAGCAACGGTTAGACATATTAAAGAAATAAATATTTACCTGCGACGTTAATCCTTTTTTGTGAAATCTCACATTTATTCTAGTGATGTAGGGAATGTCCAGGATTAACCTTGATGAGGCATTTTGGGAGGAGCTTGGGGCCATTAATTTGGAGGATATTTTAGCAGAGCACCCCACCCCCGCCTCACTTGAAGGATGAGGAGACTCGGAGGATATAATTAGAAGACTACATCCAGGCCTTGCCCAATAGATGGGTCAGCCGATATATGTACAGACCGATCCTACTGACGTACCATACTTATTGTGGAGGCAGAGTCGTGCTTACACGCGTAGATGTTTTCTCGGACCCACCATGTCCTCGGCCTTGACCCAAGATATGACCGCCCGCACTACATCATTAGCCTTTTGCCCCCAGATTTTGTTGCCAAAAAGGAAAATGTGTACCCCAAGGGCTACATCTTCACCAATATCCCTAACCCGTTAAAAATTATTAATATTCAAAATGTTGTTTTTAATAATGACCTATCATACATTGAGCAACCAGGATGGATCGTCGATCAAGCATTTAGGGGCTACATACAGTCCATCCCCATTTACACAGTCCAGGCCACATGGGTTTGTTTTGGTGTCGTACAGTTGGGATGAGAATTTGATCTTTTTATGCAACACTACTTCCCATGGTTGTTTGACCCGTTTGACCTACCACTCTAAATTTGGTAGAAGAAAACTTCTTTTGTACGCTAACCATGATGTGTTCTAATCATTTTTTTGTTGTTTTTTTTTATTTTTTTGTTGCATCACAGGAATGAGACACTAACATATTTTGACTTTTGAACAAGGATGTAATATTAATTGTTAAAATAGTAAAGTTTGTATTTTATATACATATTGCGCTATATATGCTTATATATATGCTGCATTATGGATGTAATACCTCGTTTATTACTTTGTAGAATGGCCAATAATGGTAACGGAAGTGAGTCATCAGTCAGTGGAACTGAATCGATGGAAAGAGCAGTTTCTAGCTTTTTGAAAGCCTTGCAGAGAAACATCAACAATGGGATGCCAGAACGACGAGAAGAGCCGGTTATCATCAAACAGTTCAAGGATCTAAAACCCACCACATTTATCGGCGGCCTAGACCCAATGGTAGCAGACGCTTGGGTAAAAGACAAGGAAAAGATTTTTCGCGTCCTACCCTGTACTGAAAGACGCATCCGAACGTCCCGGGAAAATCCCGTTTTGTTCATTGGGCTCACTATAGTTCGGACTCGATGTCACGGTTCTGAATCTAATGTCGCAAAGTGCAATGCAAGATCGATAAATCACCAAAGAGTCCAAATCTGGCAAATTGTTTTCAAAAACTGATTTTAGAAAGAAGTGCCAAACATGGACTGCTTTGCCAGATACAGAGTCGCCACCTAAATATTTTATTTTGGGGGAATTTAGGAAACCCTAACTCGTGCCTAAGGCCACGTGTCCGTCATCACCAAAGTTGCCTCGGCTCGGGAACTTGGGTACGATTAGGGAAGGTCATTTCATGAGCACCCCCACTTGCCCGATCAAAGATCGGACACTACTAAGCATGATATCTTGTTTTTGAAAGCACATGTGCTCTTATTCCGGTTATTAACCTAGAATTACTATGTGATGTGCACAGCATACAAGTATAGACTAGATTGCCTAAGTTGGAACAAAGCATCGCATATCCGTTTGTTTTGAAAAAGAATTGAAATTTGCTACTCGCAAGTAGGCTAAAACACGGGTTTCGACGAATTATTCCAATTCAACCAATCCAACCTTCACCCACTGGCATTCAGACAGTTATATCACATAAGCACATAGCCTCATGGTAAGCATGCTATCATGGCATTCACTCACACGCATGCAAGGATGCTAAACCATAAAGCTCACCGGGTACTCCAAGCCAAAATAGAAACTACATTAGAAATCATGCATGAATCCTA